GCAGAGCACACTCCAAGCTGGCCTCAACAGAATTCACATAAAATTGGGTGCTGGAAGGCACTTTCAGTTCAATATTTCCTCCTCAGTCGGCTTTCCCTGTCTTCCTTTCCCACATTCATATCTGTACCCTCTTTCTCTTTCACCCTTTCTACCCCTTCTCCCCTTTTCTATATCCTCCCTCCTGTCTCTCTTACTCCTCTCATTCTGTCTGCCCCAATCTGTCCCCTTAACTTTAACACAATAATCCACGGGGCACTTTTCCATAAGCAGAATTACCCAATCAGTAAATGTTTGACATTGAAATTACAGTGGCCAAGTTTCCCTCACTACCACCCCATCAAACAGGCTCAAATGTATTTTGGAATTTATTTATTTCATGAAAATAAAATGGAAAAATAATAGTGGGAGCAATCTGGAAGCTGTACTGTCAGTTTCCCTCTGCTATCTGACTCTTCATTCTCCCCACAGTGCGAGCCTCATCTCCTTCTCTCCTAACTGGAGTGTCCCTGAAAGTCTCCTGTTCCTAGACCAAGTTCACAGACACATTGCCACAGCTCCAAGCCTTGATCTGCTTGCTGCTCCTCCAATCACTGCTTTTTGTCTTTTCAGCATTTGCTGCTGATGAGCTTATCAGTAAGCATGCAGCAGTACACAGAGAGAAAAAGTTTCTGTTAGAGAAACAGCTCCTTGCAAAAATCTTCCACTGATACTTAACTCTATTTGAAACACTGGCTTCAAATAAAACATAAAAAAATTAAAACAGAATAAAAGATAAAAACATAAAATAAACTAGCTTTCACTTAATGTCTCTTTTCTCCTTTTCTATGATTCTTCTCGTGTAAGGTTATGTAATTTACAACTATTAGAACCCTATGAACGAATTGTAAATTTGTCTACTATAAATCAGGTGCTGAACTGTATGAAATATGCTGGCAGGCCATCTTGTGGCCTGCAGGCTAAAGGTTGGGCATCTCTATGATAAGGGATTTCCAACCCATGTTGATGTGATGGGCTCTAGGGGCAGGGGGTAGTTTGACAGTGTATATAAGGAAGGGGAGGGGCCAATGGTAAAAGAAGCTCAGACTTTCCTGATGGGACTGGAGGAAATAAAACAAAAACAAAGAACAAAGAAAATTACAGCACAGAAACAGGCCCTTCGGCCCTCCAAGCCTGCACCGATCCAGATCCTCTATCTCAACCTGTTGCCTATTTTCCAAGGATCTTTATCCCTCTGCTCCCTGCCCATTCATGTATCTGTCTAGATACATCTTAAATGCCCGCCTCTACCACCTCCACTGGCAACGCGTTCCAGGCACCCACCACCCACTGTGTAAAGAACTTTCCACGCATATCTCCCTTATACTTTTCCCCTCTCACCTTGAAATCGTGACCCCTAGTAATTGAGTCCCCCACTCTGGGAAAAAGCTTCTTGCTATCCATCCTGTCTATACCTCTCATGATTTTGTAGACCTCAATCAGGTCCCCCCTCAACTCCGAAATGATTAGTTACAAACAGTAAACACATTATTAAATTTGCTTTGGGATCCTATTGGAGAAATTATATTAAATGGGAGATCGGCTCTATATAATGAAGCTCAATTCGTTCTGCATGGCAAAATCCAGGCCAAAATCTGTCCCTTAAATATATTTAGCCAGAAAAGAAAACAAAACATTTGTCTTAATGAGATAGTTATGGGGAACATAAAAATGGCAGAGGAGTTAAACAGATATTTTACATCAGTCTTCAAGATAGAAGAAACTTCGAACATCCCATTAACACAAAGAATAAGGGGGAGGAATTAAGTACAATCACCACACCCACAGTAGTAGTATTAGACAAACTAATGGGGTAAAAGGCAGGTAAATCCCCAAGCCCTTACAGCTCACATCCCAGGACGCTAAAGTATTCAAAATAAAGGGAATGAATTAATCATGCAAATAAATGTAAACAGGTATGATATTTTGGGATATAGTTTGGAGACCAGGGATGGGAACTGAACATCTAGTGGAGTTGCATTACTGGTTAAAGAGGATATAAACACAATAGTGAGGAAAGATATTAGTTCAGACAATGTAGGATCTGTGTGGGTTGAATTGAGAAATACCAAAGGGCAAAGAACATTAGTGGGGGTGGTACACAGACCATTAAACTGTAGTGGTGATGTTGGGAATGGCATTAAACAGGAAAATAGAGGTGCATGCAGTAAAGGAACATCCGTAATTATGGGTGACTTTAATTTGAATATAGATTGAATAAATCAAATTAGTCACAATCCCGTAGAGGAGGAATTCCTGCAGTGCATGTGGTATGGTTTGCTGGACCAAAACGCTGAGCAGCCAACTACAGACTCCTTGAGAACGAGCGATCATATTATGATACAATTCTTCATCAAGTCTACTTTGCTTCTGTCTTTAAAGGAGAACACGAATAACACACCAGAGATGATGGGGAATACCGGGTTCAGTTACAGAGAGGAACTGAAGTGAATCTGTATTAGTATAGAAATGGTGTTGCATGAATTGATAGGATTTAAGGCAGATAAATCCCAGGCCTGATAATACTTAAGGAAATGGCCCTAGAAATAGTAGATGCATTGCGGTGATCTTCCAAAATTTTTCAGATTCTAGACCAGTTCCTACAGATTGGAGGGTGGCTAATGTAACCCCATTATTTAAAAAAGGGAGACAAAGAGAAAACGAGGAATTATAGAACAGTGAGTCTGATGTAGATAAAGGGGAAGTTGCAGGAATCCATTATCAAGGATTTTACAGCTAAGCACCTCAAAAACAGTGGGAGAATCAGACACAGTCAGCATGGATTTATAAAAGGGAAATCATGCTCGACAAATTTACTGGAACTCTTCGAGGAATAACTAGTAGAGTTGATTGGGCCATGTGTTTATTTGGACTTTCAGAAGGTTTTCAACAAAGTTTCACCCAAGAGATTAACGCGTAAAATTAAAGGGCATGGGATTGGGGGTAGTTTATTGAAATGGATAGAAAATTGATGAGCAGACACAAAACAAAGAATTTTTCTGAATGGCAGGCAGCGACTCATGGTATACCACAGGTTTCGGTATTAGGATGTCAGCTATTAACAATATATGTTAATGATTTAGATCAGGGAACTAAATGTAATATCTCAAAGTTAGCAAAAGACACAAAGCTGGGAGTGAGCTGTTTGGAGCATGCAGAGATGTTGCAGTTTGATTTGGACAGATTGAGTGAGCGAGCAAATGCATGGCAAAATGTAGTATAATCTGGATAAATGAGAGGTTCTCCACTTTGGTAGCAAAAAGAGGAAAGTAGATTATTATTTGAATGGTAAATTGAGAGAGGGAAAGGGTCAATGAGACCTGGGCGTCCATGTGCACCAGTTGCTGAAAGTATGTGTGCAGGTGCAGCAGGCAGTATAGGAGCAAACTATAGTGAGAGGATTCAAGTACAGGAACAAGGAGTTCCTGCAATTATACAGGGCATTGATGAGGTGACAGCTGGAAATACTGTGCACAGTTTTGGTCTTCTTATCTGAGGAAGAATGCTCTTGCTATAAAGTGCAGCAAAGGTTTATTAAATGGATTCCTGGAATGGCAGGACTGATGCACAAGGAGAGATTGAGACAGTTAGGATTGTATTCATTGGAGATTAGAAGAATAATAGGAGTTAGTGAACCTCATAGAAACCTACAAAATTCTAACAGGACTAGATAGATTTGATGCAGGAGGATTCTCCCAATGGTGGGGGAATTCAGAACCGGGGTCATAGTTTAAAGATAAAGGAGTAAACCCTTTATCAGATGAGAAATTTCAATATCCAGAGAGTGGTGAGCCTGAGAAATTCACTACTCCAGAAAGTAGTTGAGGCCAAAACATTGATTTTTTTTCAAGGAGGAGGTAGGTATAGCTCTTGAGGCTAAAGGGATATGGGGTGAGGGCAGGATTAGGGTATTGAGCTCAATGATCAGCTATGATCAGTGTGAATGTTAGAGCAGCTTGAGGAGTCAAATGGCCTAATCATGCTCCTATCTTCTTTATTTCTATGAAAGTAGCTGCAGCAAAATGGATGCATTGCTTGTAAATTTTCCAAAAATCTTTGGATTCTGGAGAAGTATGAAAGATTGGAAAACTGCCAATGTCTCACCCCTATTCAAAAAGGGGGACAAAAATTGGCTACCTACAGGCCAATTTATGTCTATTGTTGGAATCAATTATTAAGGAAATAACAGCAACACATTTGGAAAATCATCATCTAATCAAGCAGAGTGAACATAGCTTCATGAAAGGGAAATCATGTCTTAATAATTTATTACAGCTTTGTGAGGAAGTCTCAATCAGAGCGGAGAGAGGAGAACCAGTAAATGTGTTGTATTTGGAGAAAGGAAACTAATGTACTGTAGCCAAATTTGCAGATCACATAAAAATATTTGGAAAGGAAATGGATGTTTCCCTTCATCTATGGGAGTGTCCATGACTACAGGGCATTACCTGAGACTAAAGGGACACCAATTTAACACGGAGATGAGGAAGAATTTCTTCTCTCAAAGGGTTGTGTATCTTTAGAACTTCTTGCCCCAGAGGCTCTGGGGACAGAATCCTTCTGTATATTTAAGGCTGAGAAAGACAGATTCTTGATCATTAGCAGAATCAAGGTTACAGGGAAAAGGCAGAAAAGTGGACGCCAGCAACGTCGGATTAACCATGATCCTACTGGTGCAGCAGGTTTGAGGGCATGAATAGTCTTCACCTGTTCCTATTTCTTATGGTGTTACTAACCAACATTTCAAGTCTTTGAATGGAAAGGTCATTACGCTTGAAACATTTGGTTTGTTTCTCTTTCTACAGATCATATGAAATCTGCTGAGTATCTCTTCAATTTTCTGTTCTCAGTTCAGATTTCCAGCATCCAAGGTGTTTTAGTTTTGCATTTGTTTTAGTCTATTACATGTGAGTTAATTGAGTTTATGCATAAAAATGAATTGCTTGGACAGATCAGCTACTTACTGTCCAACAAAGTCCTTCCCAAAATTCTCTTCTCTATCGACTTCTTCACCTTTTCCATCAGCCAAGGCAAGAATACCTTCTCCACATCTAATGGGAAAAATGACAAGCCATGAAAAGACATGAAACAATATCAAAATTTTCTTCTCATCCCAAGCGATACTACATAACAAAGCAGAGCAAGCTTACAATCAAGAATGTTCAATAACTGAAAACATTGAGAAGTCTCTATAAGTCAAGGTGGTTAATGTATCATTCCCTATTGGTTGATTAAAAATAAAAGTATGGCCTAGCTACAAAGATATGTGCATTCTATTTCTAAATGTATGTCAATTACAAACCCAGGTCTGCATTGGCGAGAATTGTAAGGAATGCCCTTTACAGCATTTTTAATATCAGGATTTCCCAGCTCTATACACGTGGTCTCTGCTGAGACTCAGTACTTTTCCAGTATGGAATGAAGAATCTCATTAATCAATGAAACAGTCAGGGGATGCTCATGGTGCCCTGATGGTGTCCCTGCTTCTGGGCCAGGAGGCCTGGGTTCAAGTCAATTTTATTTTACACAGAGAGTGGTCCATGTGTGGAATGAATTCCCAGAGAAAGTGGTAGATGTGGGTACAGTTACAATGTTTAAAAGACATTTGGATAAGTATGTGAATAAGAAATGTTTGGAGGGGTATGGGCCAAACACAGGCAGCTGGAACTAGTTTAATTTAGGGTTATGGTTGGCATGGACTGGTTGGACCAAAAGGTTTGTTTCATTGCTGTATGACTCTTTTTTTTCATTTATTCATTTGTGAGATGTTGCTGTCACTGGCTGACCAAAATTTATTGCCCATCCCTCGTTGCCCTTGAGAAGGTGTTGGTGAGTTGCCTTCTTAAACCGTAGCAGTCTAATTGCTGTGGGTTGACTCACAATGCCAGTAGAGAGGGAATTCCAGGATTTTGACACAGTAACAGTAAAGAAATGCCGATATATTTCTAAATCAGAAATGATGAGTGGCTTGGAAGGGAACTTGAAGGTGGTGGAGTTCCCATTTATTTGCTGCCCTTGTCCTTCTAGATGGAAGTGGTCATGTCTGAGGATCTGTGGTGAATTTCTGCAGTGCATCTTGTAGATGGTACACACTGCTGCTACTGAGCGTTAATGTTGCAGGGAGCAGATGCCAATCGAGTGGCAGCTTTGTCCTCAATGGTGTCAAGCTCTCGAGTGTTGTTGGGCTGCACTCATCCAGGTAAGTGGGGAGTACTCCCTCACACTCCTGGCGTGTGTCTTGTAGATGGTGGACAGGCTTTGGGGAGTCAGGGGGTGAGTTACTTGCCACAGGATGCCTAACCTCTGATCTGCTCTTGAACCCATTGTGGTTATTTGCTGAGTCCAGTTGAGTATCTGATCAATGATAACCCCCAGGATGTTGATAGTGGGGGATTCAGTAATGGTAAGGCCATTGAATGTCAATGGGCAGTAGTTAGATTGTCTCTTATTGGTGACGGTCATAGCCTGGCATTTGTGTGGGATGAATGTTACTTGCCACTTGTCAGCCCAAGCCTGGATATTGTCCAGATCTTGTTGCATTTGAACATGGACTGCTTAAGTATCTGAGGAGTCGCGAATGGTGCTGAACATTGTGCAATCATCGATGAACATCCCCACTTCTGACCTCACAATGGAAGGAAAGTCATCAATGAAGCAGCTGAAGATGGTTGGGCTTAGGACACTACCTTGAGGAACTCCTGCACAGATGTCCTGGAGCTGAGGTGACTGGCCTCTAACAACCATGACCATCTTCCTATGTGTCAGGTATGACTTCAACCACTGGACAGTTTGCCTCCTCATACCATTGATTCCAGTTTTCCCAGGGCTTCTTGATGCCACACTTACATTTACATGTCATTCTTACCTCACCTCTGTAATTCAGCTCTTTTGTCCATGTTTGAATCAAGGCTGTAATGAGGTCAGGAGCTGAGTGGCCCTGGCAGAACTCAAACTGGGCATCATTGAGCAGGTTATTGTTAAGCAAGTGCAGTTTGATAACATTGTTGATGGCACCTTCTATCTCTTTACTAATATTGGTGTAGACTGATGAGCCAGTAATTGTCTTTCTTTTTGTGTACAGGACATAACTGGGCCATTTTCAACATTGTCGGGTAGATACCAGTGTTATAACTGTACTGGAACAGCTTGGCTAGGGGAACAGCAAGTTTTGGAGCACAAGTCTTCAGTACTATTGCCAGAATGTTGCTGGGGCCCGTTGTCTTTGCCGTATCCAGTGTCTCCAACTGTTTCTTGATATCATGTAGAGTAAATCAAATTGGTTGAAGACTGGTATCTGTAATGCTGGGGACCACTGGAGGAGGCCGAGATGGATCATCCACTTCTGGCTGAAGATTGCACTGAAAGCTTCAGCCTTAAATTTTGCACTGATGTGCTGGGCTCTTCCATCATTCAGGATGGGGATATTGTGGAGTCTTCTCCTCCAGTGAGTTGTTTAATTGTCCACCACCATTCATGACTGGATGTAGCAGGACTGCAGAGCTCAGATCTTATCCGTTGCTTATGGGATTGCTTTGCTCTGTCTTTCACTTGCTGCTTATGCTGTTTGGCATGCAAATAGTCTTATTTGGTGGCTTCACCAGGTTGACACTTCATCTTCAGGTATGCCTGGTGCTGCTCCTGGCATGTCCTCCTGCACTCTCCATTGAACCAGGTTTGATCCCTTGGCTTGACGGTAATGGTTGAGTGGGGGATATACTGGGCCATGAATTACAGATTGTGCTGGAGTAGAATTCTGCTGTTGTTAATGCCCATAGTGCCTCATGGATGCCCAGTCTTCAGTTGGCAGATCTGTTTGAAATCTGTCCCATTTAGCATAGCGATAGTGCCACACAACAATGGAGAATATTCTCAATGTGAACGCGGGACTTTGTCTCCACATGGACTATATGGTGGTCGTTCTTATCTATACTGTCATGGACAGATGCATCTGCAGCTGGCAGATTGGTAAGGATGAGGTCAAATATGTTTTTCTGTCTTGTTGGTTCCCTCACCACCTGCTGCAGACCCAGTCTAGTAGCTATGTCCTTTAGAACCCAACCAGTTCAATCTGTAGTACTGTGCCGAGCGACTCTTTCTGGTGGACATTGAAATCCCCCACCCACAGTACATTTTGTTCCCTTGCCGCTCTCAGTGCTTCCTCTAAGTGTTGGTCAACATGGAAGAGTACCAATTCATCAGCTGAAGGAGGACAGTGCATGGGAATCAACAGGAGGTTTCCTTGCCCATTTTGAATCTGAAGCCCGAGACTTCATGGGGTCCAGGAGTCAATGTGGAGCACACCCAGGGCAACTCCCTGTTGGAGCGAATCGGACAACCTTTTTTCTTTTTCCTAGGGTGGAGGTAGCTATTACGAGGGGGCATAGTTTTAAAGTGAGTGGAGGTAGATATAGGGGAGACGTCAGAGGTAGGTTCTTTACTCAGGAAGTGGTAGGGGCGTGGAATGCATTGCCGGAGAGGGTAGTGGAGTCGGCCTCATTCGGGGCATTTAAGCGGCTATTAGATAGGCATATGGATGATAGTATAAGGTAGGGGTGAGGTTAGATAAACATTAGGTTTAGGGTAAAAGTTCGGCACAACATCGTGGGCCAAAGGGCCTGTACTGTGCTGTACAGTTCTATGTTCTATATAACCTCCTTGTGAGTCTGCTCTGCTCCTGGGCCTGGCCAAGGCGGCCATTAACAGGTTCACATAGTATGCCCTCGTGCTTATAGTTGTCAACTTTCTGCCTCTCTTTCACAGCTACATTTGTGCCCAAGTATTCTTGGAGATGGAGCACGCAATGTCAACCAACACTCTCAATGCCTTGAGAGAGATGTAGACACTGCAGGGGGTGGAGTGCCTTATTTCCTGCTCCAACTCCATTTTCATCTAAACTCCTCTCTCTTTATCTTTGGTGTCATTGCACTGCCCTAAATGAGTTCTACATGTAAATTGGTTATTAGTTGGAAACACAAGTGATTTAGTGGTGGCGGATAGAGGTGGAAAGTAATACAGGTGGGAGAAAACCATTCAGTTGTGCAAGAAAGCACTTTTGGATATAAAAAAGTTAAGAGTTAGTTATGAACACTACTCAAATCCATATTACGAGCACACGTAACTGAAACTGTAATTGAATGGTACATGAAAGATATTTTATGTTTTGGAATGAAGATGCTGCTGCAAGACAGTTAATCTAATTTTCCTAATTATTCACATAGATCAATGAAGGGAGACAAGTTAGACATTTGGAGTGCAACAGAAATGCGTCGGATGTAGGTGGTCAAGCAAAAACTGGGGTTCTTTTATAAGTGGCAGAGTGTGTTAAAACAATGATACTTTCTCTGTCAGCATCACAAATAAATTAAAGTTCCATTTAACATTGTTAAGGACAAGTTCAGGATGCTGCCAGAGAGCTGACTGCCTAAAACCTATTTTCTAATGATTACGTCTTTACTTTCCGTGTGCCGATTACTGCAATAAACATTTGGTCAATGTGTCCTCTACGAATCTGTCTAGAACTACAGATGGGCTCAGTCTCATGAACGTAGAACATAGAACATTACAGCACAGTACAGGCCCTTTGGCCCTCGATGTTGCGCCGACCTGTGAAACCAATCTGAAGCCCATCTAACCTACACTATTCCATTATCATCCATATGTTTATTCAATGACCATTTAAATGCTCTTAAAGTTGGCAAGTCTACTACTGTTGCAGGCAGGGCATTCCACGCCTTTACTACTCTCTGAGTAAAGAACCTACCTCTGACATCTGTCCTATATCTATCACCCCTCAACCTAAAGCTATGTCCCCTCGTGCTAGCCATCACCATCCGAGGAAAAAGGCTCCCACTGTCCACCCTATCTAATCCTCTGATCATCTTGTATGTCTCTATTTAGTCACCTCTTAACCTTCTTCTCTCTAACGAAAACAGCCTCAAGTCCCTCAGCCTTTCCTCATAAGACCTTCCCTCCATACCAGGCAACATTCTGGTAAATCTCCTCTGCACCCTTTCCAATGCTTCCACATCCTTCCTATAACGTGGCGACCAGA